ACCGTCCTGCGAAGTCGCTGTGGCAACAACCGGCGGAGGGCATTAGGAAAGCGGCCGGTGGCACCCAGGCCCCTGATATTTTCTCTCGGGGGAGCAAGCCTGTCCGACCCCGTCCCCGACAGCCCCCGGTTTGGGGGACGCGCGAAGCAGAGTATTTGCACCAGCCTTCCCTAACCTGACCTGATTTTTCTGTCCGCCCGGTGGGCAGCGCGTCCCGGACGGCGGGGGGGAAGTCGGGCATAGTGCCCCCGGGCACCGCCTTCGGGGCTGGCAGCGGGGCCGTCGCCAGCTAGTGGGGTCCTTGGTTTTCCAATTCTTTTTCTTGACCTTAGAACTCCTCGAAGGCGGGGGATTTCACAGAGAGCGAGCGGGAGGACAGGGCCCCGAAGTTATTACACAAAATAATGAGTTCTCCAGGCGATCCCCTCGGACTGAGCTTGTGGCAGTGCAGGGGTGCTCACATCCCGCCCCGCCGCCCTCCAGAATTCCCAGATTAGCAAGAAAACTTGGGGGTGTTTCAAATGCATTCCAAGAAAATTAATGGTAAAGGGGTTTGTTTGGGGTTTTTTTTGTAGTTTTTTTGTTATGGGTTTTTTGTTGTGGTTTTTTTTCCCCCTCTTGTTTAATCGGGAGTTTATTTTCCCTCTCTCCCGAGGTTTTTCAGATAAATTGGAGTGCTTTCCAGAGGGAACCTGGAGAAGAAATAATAGAATTATTAGAGCACTGTCTTGTTTGTAATGATCTTGTGGTGTCTACAGCAGGTTACGTTAAACGCCCGTTAGACAGTAAAAGACAGTTAAAACTGTACTCGTTGCAGCAATATTGGTAATAATGTATTTTATCCGAAGCTGCTTTATCTCCCTCACAACAGAAACTACAAATAAAATGTATGTTCCAAAAGAAAGGGAAAAGGTTTTATTTAATCCAAAAAATAATTAAAATCTCATGTATTTTTATTGGTTTTAGTATCCAGCAGAGTGAAAATATTGAAACTCTGAGACCCCTTGCATTAAAAAGTCACAACTGTTCTATTTTATTAGTTCTGACTGTGTGAAAAAAATTATAAGGACAACATTGAAAAAATACAGGGTTTAGAGCCCCAAATGGCCATAAAAACAATAAAATCAACTATAAAACCTGCACTAGTGATATTAAAAAATTATGTAGTTCAATAAATGTGACATTTCATGAATGCGGATTTAATAGTCTCCAACCCGTGGAAGGAGGAAGGCTAAGGTCTAACAATTGAATTTGAAAGGGGCGGTGCTGTAGAACTGCAAAATTAAGTGCTTCATTTTTCTTGTTAGGGATTATGCAGTGGTAGTGGAATGTAATAACTGTGCCATTAAAACTTCCTTTTAACAAGGCCTATTGCTGGTATAAAAGTCAGAAAAGAATAATCTCTTCCTCTATTTATTTGTTTTCCAATAATAGAGCAAAACATGGTGGTTTTTTTCCTTTTGCTTAAACTTGTTCTCCGGATTTTGAATCGACAGCTTGTAAAATATTGTGGGGGCCCTGAATACTGCTGCCTCGTATCATGCACATCGTTATTCCAAAGGGCAACGGGTCATCGGTTTACTGTACATTTATTAAGTAAATCAAGCTGCAAATCCAACACTTCCAGATGAAAACATTAGCTAAACCCCTTGGAAAGAGCAATGCCTGGGAGACTGAGCACAGAGAAAAAATAATCAAAACTGTCAGCTCGCTTTACGTGTACCTGATATTTACAAGACACAAGACCACGCTTTAAAGGTGAGTTTTGGCATTTGTTAACAATGTAAAGAGAAAAAACGCCAACCTCCCTATATTATTAAAAATATATATATATTTCCATTTCACTAACACCCTTTTGTCTTGCTCTGAGACTCTTAGTTATTAAGATCTTCGTGGGTTTGAACTGGAGACCTTTTTTCCTTAAAAAAAAAAGGAAAAAAAAGAAGAAAGTAGGTTAAACGAGCACCTGCTATTCCTTAACAGCTTTCCGTGCTCGCTGTCGGCTCAGAAGCGTATGAGACAGGGGACGGGCGGCCCGGCGGGGTCCACGGATACGTAGGAGACACCTGCCGCCTCCGCTCCCACCGAGGGGTAGAAGGCGGCGCCACGCGCTGCCGTCAGGGCGAGTCCCCGAGGGGGGCGACGAGAAGCGGGCAGAACGGGGGTCGTTGCCCCCTCACACCCAGTCCGGCCGGCAGCGGCGCTCGGCGAGGGGCAGCCCAGCCCCGGGGCTGGGAACGGGTGCCAGCAGCGCCCGGGCGGAGCGGACGTCTCTCCCCCGAGGGTGGCGGGACTGAAGGAAGCACCCGCTGGGATTTAAAAAATCAAACCGAGGGTGCCCAGGTGGCGCTACTC